TTTCGCCTGTCTGTCACCAGGAGACCCCGGGCCCTGAACACCATCTTCATGGTGTCGGCAACCTTGTAGAAGCTGCTGGCGGCGCCGCGTTCCTGTGTGAAGCGGACGATGCTGAGCTGGTTCCTTGTTCCGTGTTCGATGACGGTCATTATCTCAGCCGCAAACTCGACTTCCTTCATTCGGAGGTCTGTAACTGTTGTCAGCCATGATCTCTGGTCGTCTCACAAGGGGAGGGCACCCACGATTTTCAGCAGCCACTCGGGCAAAGACGATGTTCCGACCTTTGTCGACCTGGACTTGACGGATACCATACTTGCGCCATCCGCGAAGCAGAAGCGCAATTTCCTGTCGCGCTCGCTTGCGCGAAATCTCCATGCATAAATGACTGGTTGCTGGCTTGACACGGAAGAGCTTTGCAATCCAGCTCTGCTTAACCTCGATGTTTCTGTTTGCATAGTGCTCTTTATCCTTCTCGGCTGCAAAATTAATCACACGGCTGACAGAAGAAGGCTTATCGCTCTTCTGCAATGCAATGTACTCATCTGTATCTTCACACGTCAGATATGCCTCACTATTAGGTCCGGGGCTTCTCACCTTCAACCATCAACGCCGAATCTCTGCTCCTATTACTCTTCCAGAATGGGAAGTTAAAGGGCTTCCTTTTCGAGCCTCCATCTCCAGCTCTGAACGAAGTGTTCAGTTTTTGGTCGCTGGAGGCAGTGGACATTCTTTCGTCGGCTATTTCAGTGCTGCTTGGTCTTTTCTCTGATTCTCTCTTCGACGAGCGCTTGAACCAAGAGCTCTTCTTTCTCTTCTTGATATTGTCGAGCGAGGCTTTGGAGACAGAATAGATTCGTGCCTCCTCGATTTCCTTCTCCATGGGAAGAGAGACATCCACGCCGCTGCTCACATGGGCATTGGACACCTTTTTGCGTATCTTGAGAGGTTCGGGGGCCTTGACCGGACTTGATGGCGAATGCACAACCCGTATGGTATGTTCGGCCTTACTGAGGTAGTCCAATCCTCGATCGACACCATCTGAAGGTTTGACTGGGGTACGTGGTGGCGCTGACACTACTCGAGTCTTGTCGGTGGAAGCCCTATGCTCGCCAATGGATGGAAGTGTGGCTACTGCCCTCTTCATGACCTGGCTTGATGTAGGCGTGGAAAAGATTCTCCTTCCATTATGTACAATGCTTGGAACCGAAAGCCTCTTGCTTCGTGCTGATGCATTGTCTGCGGGTTCGGCTGTTGCCGTTGAGAAGCTGCGCGAATCATCGGTAGGAATTGGTGGCAACGGACGTTTATCCCAAGCCTTGTTCGGATCAGATGGCAGATCCGGCGACTTTTCAGTCTCGGGCTGCGAGATAAGAGATATTCTGGAGGCACGCCAGTGCTTCCCACATTCTGTCAGTGAACTGGCAAAGGATACATCTTCAACCAAGGAGCTCTTGAATGCCTCATCCAAGTCTTTGGCGATTGTGCTGCTAAATTTTCGCAGCTCGTCGTTGAGCAAGGCGGATGCCTTCTTCCCTTCAATTTTGACCTGCTCACCCTCGGCGAGGAGAGGTATGTAAGTGAGAGGCTGACGCTTCGACGAATGCTGCGAGCGAGTTTTGTGAACACGATTCAAGGAGTTGTATCTCCTGATGGGCTTGACCGAATTTCGCTGGGTTGCTTGGTGAAGTTGTTTCACGGAGCTTGATTTGCCTCTTGTTCGTCCAGATCTGATGCGCAGTCTCCCTCGTGTAGGCTCACGGCCACGGTACACACCTTGGTGATTGCCTTGCGTGGATGCCATGGACCCTCGAGATGATTGTGGAGGCAATGCGGACCCCCTGCGGGTTGGTGGTCTAGCATGCTGAGATGTATTGCCTTGCCTAGTTGACTGAGAGACAGAAGGCTTGATCCCTGATTGACCATCACGATGAATAGTTATCTTGGTTGGAGTGATACGAGAGTTCGACGACTGAAGCATATTGCTGCTTCGATACGGGTCGTAACTCTTCACTGTCTCAGCCTCAGTTTCTGCCGTGGTGGAAATGACCGTGAATCGAGATATCGATCTTCCTTGTCCGTTGGCATGGGGTTGTGCAAACTCGCAAGTCGAAAACCGCTTCCTCCACACACCCGGCTTGAGATGATGGTAGTCGCTCATGGAGTGTGAAAGCTCCGGTTTAAAGTCCTCCAGCTGTTTCTCGCGATAGCTATGCAGCAGCCAATAGAATGCCTTTTGGTCGTTTGGTCTTCACGGGTTAGTGGAGTCAGAGTCAAGGTAGAGGACGCAACTTACTCATCGCATGACAGCTTCAGGGCCAAATCACCCTCGCTGAACATGTGCCACATGGAACGAAGTTGCCGCAGTAGCTGGGGATCGATCTCGCTCTTCATCACTGGAGTGTGTTGAAACCCCTTACGAGTGTCTGGGAGCTCCCAGCTTTGGTCGCCAAAGTGATCAAAGTAATTGTACCGCTGGACGAGGGGGTGTTTCCAGATCTCCTTGAGCGAGATTCGACGATCGGGGTTGACCTGCAGCATACGGCGAATGAGATCCTCAGCCTCGGGGCTGATGCATCTTGGCATCTCGTAGTGACCCTTCTTTGTCTTGGACATCATAACCCGTATATCGGGGTCATCAAAGGGAAGAGTAGCCGATAGCATGGCATACAGAATGACTCCCATGCTCCAGATGTCAGCTTTGTCACCGCGGTACTGGTAGTTTTTGAGGAGCTCAGGGGCTGCGTAGTGCGGGCTTCCACAAGCAGTAGCCAGTTGATGAGTATCTGTCTGGTGCAATGCTGCCATGCCGAAGTCGGCAATCTTGATCTGGAGGTCCGAGGTGATGAGGATATTCTCGGGCTTCAGATCTCTATGGCAGATTTTGAAAGCATGGCAGTAAGTCATAGCGCTTATGATTTGACGAAAGAAGTAGAGGGTGACCTCTTCCGACAGCTTCCCCTTGGTGTTGATGAAGGTGAAGAGATCACCTTGGTCAACGTACTCGAGGATGAGGTAACTGGAGTTGAAGGTTAGCCATACGAACATTCATGCAATTCAGGGGACAATACATCTCTGATCGATTCTCCCAGATGTCGTAGAGCTTCATGATATTCGGGTGTTCAATCAACTTGAGGATCGCAACCTCACGCTCGATCGCCATGGGCACACGCATCTCGCCATTGGGAGAATCTGGCAGACTGCTGTCCCACTTGCTCAGTGCAGCGAGACTGCTGTCTTGCACCAAACTTGCCATTCGACGGTTAACGATCTTCACAGCGGCGAGCTGGCCTGTGTTGACGTGACGGCACAAGCGCACCCGGGCCGAGGAGCCTTTGCCCAAGGTTCTGCCAAGCTGCCAGGGCCCAATGTGTGTCTTGTAACCTTGCTTGCTCCGGCCACTGGAGTTGGAGTTGTTTGAGGCCTGCGATAGCCTGCGGTCATCTTCGACGATTTTGCTAACCGCAGGAACGGGCCCATGGGACGAAAGCGCATCAGAAGGGTGGATAGGAGCTGAGGTTACTCGATGAGTGGCCTGACTGGCACGGTTTGACTTGCGAGCTGCCGGTGGTCTCGAACGGTCGACAAGAACATCCGAAGCCGCGGTGACAATGACGCGATTGTGCGATTTGTCTTGCGAGCGATCCGAGACGGGGATAGAGGAGTTAATACGGTTGGTTGCTTCAGCGAGAGGAGAACGAGTCTGCGAAGCCATTGGCTCGGTCATTGTGAATTTGGCAAAACAGAAGAAGAATCAGAACATTGCAATCGGTGCTTAGGGTGAGGTCAGATGCCCAGATGCAGGACTGGGGTCGAGGTTTGCGTCAAAGAGAAGCGCGCGTAGAGACGTGACAGAGAAGGATTGCTGCATATGCTGACAAAATAGAAGGACAAAAAAGAATTGGAAAGAAGGGAATCAATTGAAGCAGGAGAGTGTGATGTGGGAAAGAAGGAAGAGTACGCCGAGGGAGGCGACTTGGGATGAAGGGGTTGCTGCAATGGAACGATGGGGGTTTGCAATGACCATTGCAGGTTGGAAGAGGAAATGGGACGAGATGGAAGAAAAAACAAACGCGTCAGATGTTGCAGCTGAGCAGCCGGCACGTCGAGACGTGGAATGCAATGTTATTGCAATTCAGTCATGGACGAAGTGGAGTTTTGCACAGCCAGCCGACAGAAGGGAGGCAGCTGGCACCGGACGTTGCTTCCTCTCACGACGCCTTCCCGATTTGAAGGTACACAAATACATGATGTATCAGGCAGGAGACGAAATCACAAATATGCACCTACTATTCAGTAGAGGTAGGTATGGATGCCGAAAAGCAAATAATCCGTGAGTGCACTCTCGTGGGAATTAAAGATAGAGACAGAGACTGAGACTGAGGGCAGTCACCTGTGCATCCCATGTACTGCACTTCTTCTGCCGAGCATTACAAGCCGCCGCTATCTCTGCCTTGATAAGGTTGCATATTAGTACAAGCCAGGGAATTCATCAGTTGTCAACCGAGAGAACATTGGACATGGAGCCAGACTGTTAAGACCATATCGTAGAGATGTCGCGTCCTTCGCCCATCGCCTCAACGTTTACCTCGGGGGTAAAGGCCGCCAATGATGCCTAGATCTTATCGTATAAATGGATGAGTGGGAAATATTTCCATTATTCATACCGGCCCTGGTACCACACACTGTAGAAGCCTTCGATGGATATACCGCGCGCTGAGTTGAGCGGCCAAGGCAAGGGGAAGGACTGGCGTCAGATCAGGCTTGGCCGTACACTACCGTAGAAATGCGAAAATCCCGGAGTCTGATAATCCAAGGACCCAAGAAGCTATGGCAAGGAAAACAAGACCATAGAAACCACCGATCTCGATCAAATGTAAGATGGCAAGCTCTTCAAAGAGACGTCCAAGGAATGAGGTCCAAGACAACGGTGGGGCCATATCGGATGAATCAGCATGTTAGCTTATATATGCTACTAGGAAATATTCACTCATCAAATACCAGCGTGAATGGTTTAGTGGTAAAATTCTCCGTTGCCAATCGAGCAAGTTCGGGGAGCCCTGGGTTCGATTCCCAGTTCACGCAAGCACATTACTTTTGCTTCATTACTTTTTTGCTTCTGGGATCAAATTTTTATTCCAACTGTCTCTCGCTGATATACCGAACAAAGCTTGTACTGTGTCGCGCTCAAAGTCGGTTCAAGCGGTTGCCTGGTTGGGTTACATAATCATGCTTGCCCCTCCATGATCCCATCAACTGCTTAACGCGTCGCAACGCGTTGGAATCCGACAAAACGAACCCAAAGCGCACCGTCTGTCTTTCTTCCAGCACTCTACTGCTGAATAATTAAGCCGCCCTTGGATGAATATTTCGCGAATATGGTGCCGGGACTTGTCCGCCGACGAAGGCGCGCGGAGTCAGACGACGAAGACACCAATCTCAGCGATGCCGACTCACAGCAATCTGCCGGCTCTCCCAAACGACGACGGGTGAGCCGTGATCCGGAGACCGACGAAGAAGAAGACCAGACCGCGAATACGCAAAACCCCCCGACGGCTCCCTCTTCTCCCGACGAATTCCACCCCGGTGCTATTGTGCGGGTGACTGTTGAGAACTTCGTGACCTACGAAAAGGCCGAGTTCTTCCCCGGGCCAAATCTGAACATGGTCATTGGGCCGAACGGCACCGGAAAAAGCTCTTTGGTTTGCGCCATCTGTCTTGGTCTCGGCTATAGTCCCAAGCATCTTGGTCGCGCTGGATCTGTCAAGGAGTTTGTAAAGCATGGCAAGGATACGGCAACAATCGAGATCGAGCTGCAGAAGCGACCAAAAGACCGCTCCAACTACGTCGTGCGGGTGCAAATCCGTCGAGAACAGAACAGTCAGAAATGGTGGCTCAACGGGAAAGAAACGATACAGAAGACTATCCAGAGCCTGATGCAAGCACTCAAGATTCAGGTGGACAATCTTTGCCAATTCCTGCCCCAGGACCGAGTCGTCGAATTTGCCGCCTGTACACCGATCGATCTACTACACGAAACACTTCGCGCTGCGGCACCGCAGAAAATGCTTGGGTGGCAAGCCCAACTGCAGGACCTCCACAAAGACAAGAAGTCTCTTAGGGAAACCGCGCAGTCCAATATCGAGACACTCCGGAACTTGGAAACTCGACAGCAAGGCATGCAAGCCGACGTGGATAGAGTCCGCGAGCGCGAGGAGATTCAAGAAAAAGTCACCAACTTGAAATGTGCTCTCACGCTAGCCAAGTACGAAGAAGCACGCCGGAAACATTCTCAAGCCAGGGAGCGGAAGAAGGCCGCCGAGAGGGCGTTGAGGAGACTGGAAGAAGAGAGCGGCCCGTCCCTTCAAGCTGTGAACCAGAAGCAGATCTATGTGCAGAAGATTGAAGCTGCAGTTGCGGGAAGAGAGGATGCGCTCAAAGCTGCAGAGAAAACGGCCCGGGATTTTGCGAGAGACATCAGCACGGCATCAGAGGCCATCAACGAATTTGAAAACACATTGGCAGCAGAGAGAAAAGGCTTCGAATCGAAAAAGAAGGATATCGCCGCTTCACGTGCAAAGATCACGACCTACCAAGCAGACCTAAAGAACCAGCCACCCGCTTTCAATGCCAGCGACTGGAATCAGAAGATTGTAAGTCTGACCATACAGGGAACAGGACCGAGGACTTGGCTAACCTCAATTATCAGCGTGCAGAGGAGCACACAATGCGGGAACTTGAAGCAGAGCAACGCGAAACTGGAAACCAGATCGACGCTATCCGACAGAAAGGAAAGGACATCAACAATGAGATAAAGCAGACCGAGCTTTCACTGAAGTCCTTTGACACCCAGGAAGGCCAGCAACTTAATTTCATGAAGAAGCACTTCCCCGAGCTCTCAACTGCCTGGGACTGGATCCAGGAGCACAGGGGAGACTTTGAGCAAGAAGTCTTTGGGCCACCCATGATAAGCTGTTCACTCAAGGATGAGCGGTTCTCTGACCAGGTTCAATCCCTCCTCCAGATGGATGACTTCACATGCTTCACGGCGCAGAACAAGAATGACTACAAGAGGCTGACGGACCAGCTGTATCGCGTCATGAGCTTGTCCGTGGTGGTGCGAACATGCTCGCGCCCGTTGTCGGCCTTTCAACCCCCTGTGCGACCCGACGAGGCGGCTTCGCTTGGCTTGGATGGATTCGCTTTAGATTACCTCGAAGGCCCATCGCCTGTGCTCGCCATGCTCTGTGCGGAAAAGAGGTTGCATCAGTCAGGAGTTTCTCTCAACGAGCACTCGGATGATGCATATGACCGTCTGGTCAAACACGGAGCCGTGAGTCAATGGGCTGCTGGCAGGCACTCCTACATAGTACGCCGTCGAAAAGAATACGGTCCTCAGGCCATGACTACAGTCACCAAAAATATCCAGAAGGGCAGATTCTGGACCTCTCAGCCCGTTGATACCCAGGAAAAAGAGGAGCAAATGCGACGCTTCGCGGAGCTACGAGACGACAAAGAAGTTCTGAAGACCGAGTTTCGGCAGCTTGAGGCCAAATACTCGGAAATCGATGAGCGTAAGAGCCATGTTTACGAGAAAATTGTATGTGTCTTTACCAACATGATACTTGATGAGGCTGACCCGTTGCAGGAGCAACTCAAGAAGGAGAAGAGTGGGTTGCAGAAGGAGTACCAGAAATGGCAATCGTTGCCTGAGAAGATTGGTATGTTTCACGGGCTTGCGGCTTCGTGTAGCACTAATTGCAACTAGAATCCGAGGAGCAACTTAAGGCCGGACATGAGCAGGGCATGCGAGATGCTCGAAAACGAATCGTGGAGATTAATTACGAGTACGATACAGCTGTCATCGAGAGAGCCAAGACCGCGCTTCAACACAAAAAAGCGATCGACAAATTCAAGAAGGCGCGGCAATCTTTGTTGGAGGCCAAGATATGCCTCATCGAAGCGCGCTCAGACGTAAACGGCCTCAAGAACCGGAATGCTAACATCATGAGACGGCTAGATGAGGAGCGGGCAAACGTGCAGCAAGCCATTGAAGAGAGCAACAGGACTAGAGAGGAAGGCACTGCGCTGTCTCATGTCGTCCGTGAGACTCTTCCCGAAGATGAGGAGAAGAGAGATGCCATCACTCAGCTGGCAGAGAACAAGACACCAGAGGATGTGCAACTCGAAATCGATGCCGAGGCAGCCAAGCTTGAGCTCATTCATGCCGCCAACCCAAATGTGATTCGCGACTTCGAGAAGCGGGCACAAGAGATAGCACGGCTAAAGAAGAAGATGGAGGAATCCGACGACAAGCTTGCCGGCTTGACGAGGGAGCTGGAAGAGATAATGAGCAAGTTCGAGCCCAGGTTGGATGAGCTCGTGTCCAAGATCAACGACGCCTTTGCCTACAACTTTGAGCAGATCAGCTGTGCCGGAGAGGTGCGCGTTCACAAACACGAAGACTTTGACCAGTGGGCTCTCGACATCATGGTCAAGTTTCGGTAAGTCCCAGCAGCTACCTAATTTTAATGCCAACGCCACTAACAGACACAGTGAGAACGAGACACTGCAGCAGCTCACGGCTCATAGGCAGTCGGGTGGCGAGCGAGCCGTGTCCACCATCTTCTTCCTCATGGCGCTGCAGTCCATGGCTCAGTCTCCGTTCCGCGTCGTCGACGAGATCAACCAGGGCATGGACCCTCGCAACGAGCGCATGGTGCACGAGCGCATGGTCGAGATCGCCTGCCGTGAGCACACGAGCCAGTATTTCCTCATCACGCCCAAGCTGCTCACCGGTCTGCGCTACGACGCCAAGATGCGCGTCCTTTGCATCGCCAGCGGTGAGCATATGCCGCGCGAAGGCAGGAAATTGGATTTCCGCCGATGCGTCAAGGTGCAGAGGAGTTTGATGGCGCGAGCATGATCTCAGTGTCACTCAGCATGGTCAAGTTGGTCGTATGTTCCTGGTGCCTAGGGGGCCGTTGTAGGAGTAAGGGTGGGAGGAGTCCGATTGATTTGTATTTGTATCATTGGTTGGCAAGGCGTTGAGTGATTAGGACACAGCCATGGCAGTTTATCACATCACAGTAATGCACAGCTATATATCACGAAATGCTTTCACAATGGAGCTCTTATATTACATATTTCAAGTAGGCAATCGCGCGAGCTAAGGTAGGTAAGGTAGGTAATTCAGAGTAGAACCATCAGATCTTCTTTGGCTTCAATTCACGAACCCGAACAGGCAACTAACGCAGCCGGGCCACTATTGGCAAAAAATAAGAAAAAGAGAGAAAAAGGAATAGTAAACAGAAAATGCCGAATCCCTCGCCGCTCATGATCATCAACTTGCTACTGATAGCAGAAGAATCTCCTCCTCTTTGGTAATATACACTAACACTAATCGCTCTCCTCTGGAGAAGAAAATAAGGTCATCATCAACCGCCTCCACCTTCTTGGGTTTCCGCCGAAGGGATGAAACCCCAAGGGTTCTCCTTTCGCTGGCAGCTTGAGCTCATCAATCTGCAGACACCTCTGTTGAGTGGTGAGCAAGCTGATACAAGACAAGGAGGCCGTTGATGGTAAAGTTGTGTCCATCATCGTAAAATGTAAAATAAAAACGCAAAGGAGCAAAAAAACCAAGACGAACAAGTGACAGAGAGGACAGAAATTAGAAGAACACAGGAAGAGAGACGAGGGTTGGAAATATCCCCCCATACATAACAAACGAGAGAGGAATTCCCGCCCGTTAGACCAGCTTGCGTGGCAGGCGACAGCAACCAACACCAACCAGCCCCTTATGTGGTTTATCTATACAGGCCATTGAAACACCACATGTAACATCGTCGAGTGGCAAGGCAAGAACGGAACGCCGGGTATATTGCGTCATGAATGCGTAGCGGTATCCAGAAAGTGGTCAAGATGTGCTTTCTTGTTGATCTTGATGCGAGGGCGAGGACAGGTTGCGAGGCTCAGACATTCTTGGTCTTGTTGCCTGCCTCGCTCTGAGTCTCGTCGTTGTCGAGTCGCTTCCTCCAGTCCGCCAGGCTCGAGCTCAGCGCCAGCCCCGCGGAGCTGTCGTCGTC